TGTGGATATATATCAACCACGGATGTGATGAACCCCTCCACCCCCACAAACTGACTGCCCAGACCTAACAGCAGGATCATCACAAAGAACAGAATCGCCCAAATGGTTGAGCCCGGCATTTGGGCCACGGCTCGCGGGTAGGCTATAAATGCCAGTCCTGGCCCGGACTCTGCCACCTGACCCACTGTGAGGCCCTGTTCGTGAGCCATGAACCCCAGCACTGAGAATATGGCGAACCCGGCGTATATTGAAGTCCCGGAGTTCATGCAACACAAGAAAAATAGTTGACTGCAAAATAAACATTTGAAAAAATACTCATTAGTTAATAAAATTTCAATTAATACTAGAGTTAATACTATTAACTTAATAGGTATAAGTGTTAATACTAGAAATTTCGTGAATATTCTGAATTTTTGAATTAATTTCAATATTCTTAATAAACTGATAGCTCACTGATAGAAGTCATTGTGAAAGTCATTATAACTGCCGAGTGATGTCATACATCCCATTGCTATGGCGTACGAGAAGAATATCTGAGTGCCGGCGTCTATCCACACCTGGACTTCTAATAGACGACTCATATCGGGTAATAAATAAAATTTAATGCCATCCCCGGCTCCGGGAAGAGTTATGCCGCGAATGAATAGCGCCGTCATAACAAAGTATGGGAATATAGCGGTAACATAGGCTGCCTTTCCCGTCGATTTGATGCCTCTCCAGATGCAGAAGAAGCATAAGACCCACGCTATCAATAAAGTCAACGCCAACTCGTATTGTATGCCATCCGGATGGTCGATGCCTTCACTTATCTGTAATTCACACACGAATTAATGATATTTAATAATATGTGATATTATAATGGATTTCATTGATACAATACAGACCTGGATTATTTTCCTCTCCCAGAATTCAACGACAGAATTGACAGACTGTTCATTGGCTGTAGTGTTGGTGTGTGGGGACCAACATCTCGCTGTATTCCACGCGTTATCACACGTAGACCAGGGAAGGACCCACGAGAATGAGTAGTATAGGTATAAAAGAGCCCAGCTTATTATTACGATATAATAGCAATTGACTATTGATGAGACGACTATTGTGCCGATGCCTATCCCCTTAGAGATGGGACAAATCAATTGCCAGACGGATATACCGCCGTTTCGGAAGTATTGGCCAATTGCTGTCTCTAAGAATAGTACGGGAATGCCTCCAAATATCAGGAATATTATGTATGGGATCAGGAATGCACCTAAAAA